GGTATATATATATATATATAATAGTGGTCTTGGTGGCTGGTAACGTTTCTAACGTTACCCCAGCAGGAAATGTTTTTTTGAAATAACTAAAAAAAAAATAAGTGAAACGAATTTAAAAATGTGCCTAACAATTACAGAAACTAATTATGTATAACGTTGAAATGACCATTTTCGACATTATTTTTCTGGGGTAACGCACACGAATAAAACATTAGGTCGCTTGCTTTTTATGCAACTACTGTTTCCAGCGTATTTGGTTAATGCAGTACGATTCCTTAAATAGATATATTTATGACAAATAAACATACAAATAATCAAAAGCCAAAATTCATAATGGGTAATTCATTGCATAATTATATCTTCAGAATGTATGCATGTATATCTGTCCCACTGTTTCTATCTCCCCAACTATTATTATCTTATATTTTATGATTTCTAGTGCACCTAGTCAGAACTTTCCCCACCACGTAAGTCATAGTTTTGAAATTTTTAAATAAAATTTAATATTGCCTAGTCTATAGGATGATATCCACCAAACGGTTCGCATCGGATCGGAACGAATTTTACAATCTTTAAACGATATTAAATCGTGTACAGAGTATTTAAAGTCTATGTTACCAAGCCGGGGACAGCAGCTTGACCGCGGGCGTCTTCCGCGACACGTGATCGTAACCGAAAGTTTGACGTCGCGTGCCTGCTTTTCCTCTTGTGTTTTATGACTTATTTTCTTCTAATGTCGCAGCAACCATTAGGCGGCGATTGGGGAGCTAGCGACCTCTGCCGCGTCCCCTTCGCCGCCTCCTTCGAGCGGGATCGGCCCTCTCCCGACCCCCTCTGCGGCGTGAGCATAACGTCCTCGCATAAAGAGACCGCGGTTGCCCAACTCTCGCTACTCGCCAGCATTCCCGCAATCAATGCTGGCGGTGACAGGTTTCGTCCGACCAACACTCGATGTTCGGACTCCCACGCAGGACAGTCCTCCAACGTGTGCTGAGAGGAGTTCCGGTCGGACCCACAATGGCTCAATTGTGCCGTGACCTCCCGTCCAGATCGATTCAGGTAGGTACTCACCGAAGCAACCGTGCCCGGTAAGCATCGGAGTCAATCGGTAGGTGACACAGTCGTTCCTCCCTTCCCACGCTTCGAAGCTCGGCAGAACGGCTCCGACGGCGCGTTGGCTAGCACAGCCCTGGATTTCGAGCCGTGCCTGCCATGCCCGCAGAGCCTGCGTATGCGCGTTACCGGGCATTCCGGGCTCATAATGCGGCGCGGCCTCTTCACCATTCCGACCGACAGAGTGAACTTGGTCATAGACTATCGCGTCCATGTCGGCCAGAATGTCGAATAGTGGATATCGCGCCAGGACCGTCGCCGCTTCAAACGAAATCGTACGAGCCGTATGAAAATCAACTGCTGCAGGCTTTTGAGTAGAACCTTGCAGCGAGAGGCACCCGCCAAGTCATTAGACCAGACCAGACCAGCCCTATAGAGATATAGATGGACCGCACGACGCCCATGTAGAGGCGGCGAAGTTCTTCCCTTGGTCTCCCAAGATAGCTTAGATGCTTAGAAGTCCTAACCACCGATATCTTGGTCTCTGTACCCGATACCGATGGGATACTATTTTTTATATTTTTAAATGTATTTTATTTTTTGTTTTTGTATATAAATATATTTAAAAATGTAATTTATATGTATAAAGAATGAAATAAAGAAAGAATAATAATAATCATCATTCTAGTCAGAGCAAGTTTCAAAAAAAAATTAAGCATAAAAAGGAATATAAAATTATATTAAAATTTAAAAAACAACACTTTTTATTTAAATTGTTCTGATTACTAAATGTAAATTATAAATAATTAATATTAAGTTTAATTCACAAACAATATAATTGTGTTTGAATGTATAACAATTCGCCGTAATACAAAAATATTTAAAAATTAAAACAAAAATATAAATAACATAATAATCAAAAAAGAAAACAAGTTTCAAGTTGTTTCAGCCTATATTGACGTCACAAAAAAAAGAGGCATCTTCATAATCATCATCATCATCGTCGCTGCCTTTGTCAGTGTCATTCATATCGAATTAATGTCTGGCAAATTTATTTTAAGTTTTTCTTATCTTTAAATAACATAATATTTAAATTACAGACATTATAAAATACTTTGAAATTTTTATAAAACAAAAAGAAAAAATCGCGTATGGCACATAGTTAGCATTGTCAAAAATGTCTGGCAATAAAAAAAGTATGTCAGGTAGACTTATTTAAAAACAAAAAATTAAAAATGACGCCTTCTAAAATGTTTTTAAAATACAGGATTATTACCTGGACAGGTAGGATGCGCACTAATGAACGCAACCGCTACCGCCAGCCAGATAGCCCAGAGTCTAACCGAAAGTGCAAGAAGGACGACATATCACAAAATCAGCTGACCTAAAATTCTTACTTTCCAAACGTTGCTAGCTCCCGTACTGTGGCAATGAATTTTGAGCTTGCCAACTTACCCAAATTTATGCCATAAAAGCACAAGTCCACTAATAAAAATATTTTATTTGTTCGAAATTTTACTATTTAATGTCCTAAATGCTGAGTTTTTTTTTTATAATAATGTCTTTTACTTTGAGAGGTTCTTGAAATTTCCTCTAATTTCGAGATGTGGTGAAACCGAATCGTTAAATATACTACATCTACATATCCAATAGGACTTATTTTGTGTTCTATTCCGACGAAAGTATGTTCAAATTCTAAGTTTAAAAAAATGCTTTCATTGCCAACAAACTTTTTTAGAATTTTTGTGAGAATATATGTGTTTTCTTTATTTTCACCGTTACAATTTCTAATTATTTGAATCCAATCATTTCTCCATTCTCCATTTTTCTTAGAAAATTTAGTTTAAAAATATGAAATAGTATACCTAGTAGTAACTATTAAATAAATTGATTTTAATAACAAACCAAAAATTTTCTTAGTTTCGGGTAATGCACACGTGAAAATCGGCAACACTGGGCTTAAAATGAATTCTTATGTTCCAGCGAATGTTGATTAATTTTAATGTATAAAATCTGAAAATAAGTGATTGAATTATTCATTCCCCTTTGAAACGTGATTGCTGAATTATTTTTCTTTCGGCCAGTACGGTTTTTACAGCATTTCACTACGCAAAACATGTATATTTATATGTTTTCTCCTCGTCTTGATGTTTGTGAGCGTAATGGCCGACTAATGAGTGTAGATGTGCGAACCGGCCTATACGTACAGCGAGGTGGCCGACTACGAGTGACTTTTTTATAAGTCCATGAATGGGTCATTAAGTGCATAACCTTCAGTTGCCGCCAGATTTCATTACATGCCATCCAGAATTGATAAAACATATTTTTGAACAACCCAGGCACCTCGATTACAGGATAGTTCAGAATTCATAGAAATTAAAACTTAGATGAAAAACCGCGAGTATTAAGAATTAGCGTACGACTCGATAGTACCTAGTTAAACATAGTTTGTATTTTTTTACTGTTTCCTTTTCTATTCGTGACTAACTATTGCTAACTGAACTTTGATTTATTGTGCTTCGGATACTGTTAAAGATGACGACCAATTGAAACGAAGAATATGTTGAAATTCTGATTTGTTACGGATATTGCCATGCCAATGCACTTCCGCACGATCTAATCTAAGAGGTACCGTTTGACAGTTATGACAGATTGAAGAATACGGAGCGGTTCAAAGAAATCGATTACTACCATATCCGACTTTTAAGAGAAATCGATTTCATTTCTTTGTACAAATCGATTGTAGTTTTTAAGATTTATGTACGTTACTGTAAAATTCCGCATATTATTATATCTTATTTACTACTGGTACTTACTAGTTAATCTATATAAGTACTCTAGACAAATGAAGATCGATATAAACGAATGAGCATCTATAAAAACAATTGAACAATTTTCAAGATTAATATGATTCAAGATAAATTAAATAATACAAGGTCTAGTTTCAGGATCTATGTCAACAATGGGAAGAATACTTGGCTAAATAGTAGTAGGTAAAATAATATATGCACCAATTCCATAGTAGTCACGAAATAAAAAAAAGGTAGAAATTGAGGAAATTTATTAGGTTGAAAATTGCTTGCAATTAGTTTTTTAAATACTCATCACATTTAGATGATAAAAATAGGAGCCAGCAGTTTTGGACTATGGAATTTGCACAAAGTTCGATTTTTTTTTTAATATGCCTGGTTAGTGTCATTTATAGACGCCAAAATACACGTGTTTAGAGAAATGCCTTTAAGGACGATAATTGCTTGTAACTGTTTTTTGTTGTCTGTATGTGTTGACATAATTATTAAGAATATACTTTGAGACAACTTCAACAAGGCTAAAATTTTTGCCGTAAAGCAAATCTGTCCTAACAAGGGCACAAAACTTTTTGTAATAATAGAAATGAAATAAATAATTCACGCAAGGAGTAAAGAAAATGTATTTTTATGTTCAGTAAGCATGCAAGTGTACCTGCGTAACATTCGGTTTGCAGCTTACATCAATGGCATAAACATGTATGGCGCGATCGTAAATACTAAAAAGAGGCACTGAATAAAAATGGCAGGTTATTAACAAGTTCAAATTATTATTCATACATTTTAACGATTATTCATATATGATTAAATATAATAAGTTAAATATATGATATAACTATGAACAAACCGGACATGACCGTGTAATCGATCTTAGCAAACTGTGCATCGATGCTTTAGAGGTCTCAAAATCGATAAAAACATCGGTGTCTTCCCGCTATACATCAATGTATTATAAAGATAGTATCTTTTATCTAAATCTATATTTATATAGATGACTTCACTACAGCAGTGAATATCGATCACTCACAAAACAGCGCCAAGATCGTTCAAGTCGTGAACTGTTATCAAAATATTTTATAGGTAAAAAAGTAAGAATTTGTAACAAACTTACCTGAATCTGTAAGTGATCTGTTATCTAAAATGGTATTTCAAATAAAAAGAGTGGATGTAGCAGAGCCATCAAGAATATTGGAGGTGGGAAAACATACAATTGGACCCGGACAGTATTTATTAGTAAGTGCGCATTTGTCGTAGCAGAATAGCATGTATTTTTTTGCTTTATGTAGGCGAGAAGCAGGCACGTAAACAGTTATTTTTACAGGAAAATAAAATAAAATAAATTCTTTGTTAGCTTCCTTAGTCTTTCATCAGTTTTAAAACGACGATAAGCTATAATTAGATATAAATTATTATGATGAAATACCTAATTGCTCTTGTAGAAATACAAACTTGAACAAATGCTTCATCAGGGGCAATATGTATTTTTTAAAATTTTAATTGGCCTGAGGCAGTTTTCAAAACAAATTTTAAGAAACAAGGGGTTTGTTTTTAAATGATATTTATTGAAATAGACTTGAAAACAAATATGAAACAAAATTTATTGAACACTTATGGTTAAATCTCCTGTCAACCAATAAGAAATTTGAAATGAATATTTTTAATCTAGTTGGACTTCAACTTTGATAACAAAAAGTTAAGAAAATAAATTCTTGCCTACTAACAATAACTTCAGTAACACACACAGGAGTCTGATCCCAAACCTGTACTATATAAAAATATACATTTTATAAAAAGTTCACACCCATACATAGAACAAATGATCATGCTCATCTTACAATTATTTGTCCTGAGTCGGAATTTAGAAACAATTGAACCCACAACCTTAAGCTTATCAGTCGGAGTTTCTAACCGCTTTACCAACATAATTTAAAGACAGTTTTTATTATTTGTGGCTGGTTGTTTACCTTTTTTCAGGAAAGTAAAACAGATATTCTTTCATCGTCTTGTGAAATACTACTAAGTTATTTAATTATTTTTCTTTAATCCTAGCAATGAAAGGCAAATATGGTTTTGATTACTGAAGGGCATTGCACTTCAATCCAGGCTTTCACTACTAAAAGAGACATCATCAGTTACATCCAGAATTGTTTGTTGTTGTGTTTGTTAAATATTGATAAAAAGAATATTCTATTCTATTCCAGTACATTTTTTTTATATTTTCCTCCCTTTCCTATTCCTTCCAATGCAACATTGTTCATTGAGGCTCGGCTTCTATTTGTTGTAGCTTGATGTTAAATAGCCTATAGGCTACATTGATAAATGGGCTATCCAACACTAATATAATTTTTCAAATTGAAGAAGTAGATCCTGTGATTTGCTGAAAACATTGCAAAGGCAAGTGATCGAAGCCAGATCTGTATATGGATGGGTGTCAATTCTTAACTCATTGAGATGCCTCCGTGCCTTGGAAAGCACATTAACACATCGAACTGACAGAGTCCCCGTTGCTATACAAACCTCTGTGGCAATAGATACACATAGTTGGAGCCCTAAAAAGTCTGACAAACAGTCTTTCTCCAGAACTTAAGGCCCAGGAATTGGATAGTGTAGATCTGATGGCAGTCGCTCTTTGTAAAAAAGCGAAGCTCAACCGTATCATAGCAGACTTAAAGCCGACCCCAACCTAGTTCGGGAAAAAGAAAGGGAAGTTCCTGAGATTAGCATGTTCAATCAAACAAACTCTTCAGCTTTATTATTAGTATAGTTATACCTGTTATTTCCTGAGGCATTATATTGCATTCATTCTGTACAGTATCTCTTAGACTAGGTGATACAGATGGTGGCATTTGTGATCAAATTTTTCATGAGAACTATGAAGTGCGATGGGATCTTCTTTTACTGTAGTTACATGGGGTTGATGATAATTTGCCACCTCAGTACATTAAAACTCATCATCAGTAAATGCATGCCACTTAAATGCATTATCAGTTTTCTAAAACCAGAAAGATTAATTGTATACTGGAGTTATAATGGCAGGCAGATTATGAATTATTACGGTTTTACTGGGATATTCCAACAGCCAATCATTTTATGTTGCTGAAATTTATTCCTTAAGTGGTCCATTGACTGCAATATCTAAGGGTTGCATCTAATGTGCACCATGTAGCGGGAAAGTGACAAGAATGATGCCATTACAGATGCTCATGCACACAGCTACTCAAGAGTGACAAGCGCACAGCTGTCCTTGCCTATAAATATATGCCCTAATGCTGGAGAGGAGAGGCAAGGACAGCTGTCAGGGAGGATGTCAGGGCTCTGGTAACCTCACTAAAGGAAAAGCAACAAAAGAATTGGTTAACACCTGTTTTCTGTGAGAATGTGGCATCACACCGGTCGAGCTGTCCCATTTGTGCAGTACCATGGCTCTATTAAATGCAATAGCATTCAATGCAACAGTAGTAATACTGGTTTTGTCCAAATTGAATATTGTCCAAATTGAATTGCATAGCTTTTTCATAACTATTGTTTATTATTAAACCTTGATGTTCAGAGAGACTCCTGTTTCATAGTTTTCTCTATTAATGCTATGCCTCTTAATTTTCTGCCCATTTTTCTAGACATTTGTTAAGCTTTTGCATATTCAAAAGCTATGCTCTTGCACTTTTATAAGCGAGGCCATAATATGAACTAAAGTAGTTACTTAACATATATAAAGTAGATAATTGGCCACCAGTGACCTGTATAGTTTAAATTTCTTGAAGCAATGTTTTCTTTATTTATATAAGATATATGTAAACTCGATAAAAAGTATTTGGAATTAATCCACATAAATCACCATCACTTCTAAGTCTCATAGAACCGTTAACGATCTTTAATATCGCTTTTAATACATCTTCTTTGCTGCTTTTTTTTCTCTTGGAAACCTACAAATAAAAAAACTATAAGTAAACACATATACAGCTACACTAGAAGGCGCCATTTGAGCCTCCTGTCTATTTCCGCCTGAGTATTTATTTAGGCAGAGCACATTCAACATAACGTTCAAACCTGCCTCCTCTGATTTGGTATGCCGCTAGTCAGCTTTCTGCTGAGTATATATTACAAAAAAAAAGACAACTTAGTACGTAATTTCATACACTAATAACAGTTAACTCACGTGATAGGCCATTCTTTACAACATTTATCTTGATTTATAATTCAGACGGTTAAAACAATTAGGTACCTAGATTTTAAAAGTAATTGTACACGCGCTTCGTGGGTTGACGTTAGGTTTAGGTACGCAGTGTTGCAAACATTCAAAATTGCGATATATTCAAATCTAAGACTGTGGTCCAGTGCCTCCTTCTTCTACAGCCAAATACAGACTTCTATACCTATTAAGTAATTAAACTTACGTTTATCAATTTAATTTCAATCAAGCCCCCGGCCTAAAAAATCATATTATACTTTTATAATTATAGCGCGAGGAGAGTAATCTGGAGGTGCCCACAGACCATGCACAGCTGCTGGTCACGGATGATATAGTGTCATTAAAGACAGTAAGTAAAAAGTATTCCAAACATTCACAAACAATTTGAAATCCAAAAAGTTTAGTTATCAATCGAACATTTTGTCTATATGAAATCATTTACAGTTAGACAAGAACCCCTGCTACTACATCAAGACCAAAACTGATAAGAAAGAAATTTTGAGACAAAATGACATATATACTTTTAAAAGTGGTGATAGATTTGGTTTAACACCAGATAGCTTCTGGTATGAAATAACCACTTGTTGTGGACTAGATACTACTCCAAATCCATTGAAATTAAGAAATTCAAATAGGAAAGATGGGCATGGAATAGAAAGTGGAGACCAAAACAATGTAATATCAGTATCGGACACAGAAGACGATGCTGTGATATTTGAAATGAGTGAATCGCTTGAAGATTTCAACAAATCAGCTGCAACATTATTGAGTAAGTTCCATTGATTTTTGAACAATATAGGGATTGAGACAACAGTGTAAAAATAAACTTGTGTCACTAAACAGTATTAATGAGAAGACTGGAATAAAACAATTGATCATCCAAAGCCTCTAAAAACATTTTAAATTGAATAAAGGACTCTAAACACATTGTGATTAGGTGCAAATCAAAGCCACTTATGCAACCATCATCACCTCCTTCCCCTTTTTTGAAATTTATTTATTTGTGGTCAATGTGATGAGTTTTACTCTTCCATTCTCCTCTAACGCTCGTAAATTCACTGTTACTCCTTTTCTAGCCTTATCCTCCTTCATGCAGTCCATCCATCTTTTCTTTAGTTGTCCTCTACCTATATATAAATCAACTTTAGAATATAAAACCTTTTTCGCTACATTTTGCTTATCTTTATGCATCATCGACCATTCGATTAAAATAACTTGTGGTTGCCTAATGGCTTTCAATGTGTTGTTGTTTTTGTATTAGAAATCTTTGAATAGTATTTTTAGTTATACTACAAATTATCCTAGGAAAAGTATTAGAATTGAACAATCCCTGTATAAAGTATGCACTCAATGAGTATCTATGTCTTCATTATAGAAGAACTAGAAGGATCAAGCTCAACACAAGCTCTTCCTACTACGAATAAAAGGGTACAAGATGCAAATGATTCCAGCACCACTGATATTAAGAAAGCCAAAACAGAACCGTCTCCACAGGATATGCAGGGTGCTCAATCTGGGCCTAAAAATGAAAAAGATTGTGTTTGCTGTCCATAAGCACTAGCGTCATATAATCACTTATTTATTATTTTAATCATGTATGTTAGTCACAACACAGTATTAATTTACTTTAATTATTTAAAATAAAACCCAAAATGTTTAGATCTTAACTAGGTACTTGTAAATTTTATTTCATCTACTTTAGCTATTAATAAATTAGTTAGTTTTTATATATGCTTAGGCATAGGTCAATGTTATATAGAACCATAATTTCGGCATATTCTTTGTTCAAAAAATGTACAACGTCTTGCCAATAGGTTCTTTTTAATTCCTCATCTTGTATTTGAATCCTCAGCTGCTTCAACTCTAAAATAATATAGAAATCAAATTAAATGTAAAATAAATAAAATAACCACATAACAGCGCCATAGCAAAATACTGAGTTAACATGTGTTTATAAACTGTAAATAATCATGTAATTATAGTCTATAAACTCATGTTATTCATATAGGTACATATCTATTCTCTCTGAAACCTTTTAGACTGTTTTTTAGTTAAACAGTTACATGTAAATGTAACTTTGACTAGAGCGTGAATGTGTCCCACGCTAACTAATTATTTTTCCTCAAATACTCACAAAAAATCCTTAAGATTATGAGTAGAGAAATAATTACCACTGTATCCCCATTTTTGACAATAAAGTAGTTATTACTTTTAGATTGAAGTTTTACTTAATATAGTCTATTTTCCAAAATAATTCAAATGTGGTTAGTTACAGACAACAAAATGTAATTTATATAGGTATTGTAAGTTATTTATTCACAACATTAGTCAATTTCAAGACATGAACCACTGTCGTAAAATGCCGACTAGTTGTTCGGCGCAGTCTTGGGTAGTACACGTACGATGTACTGATAAGTACTAGTACTGGGTATTGTACTAAAAGTAATGTTCCCGAAAGGCAGCTGTGCGACGTACTATTAATGCTCCACTTTATTGTTCCATATTGGTAAACAGTGTGAGAGTAAAAGGGACAGCGATACAGGTGTACTACAATTCGTTGGGTTGTAAAGTATGAAGTAAAATGAAATAGTATGCTTAAAAATTTAGTGTAAAGTAATCTAAAAAATCGTATTTAAAAGTCAAACTGTTAGGGTTTATGGGATTCAGAAAGGGATAACACATTAAAAATATTCAAGAACTGTATAATTATTTCTATACTGAAGAAAAGTAACAGCCTAATACAAAGCCATCTATATTAAAAAAAAAAAAACTATAACACTTTTTTTTAATTACGTATTTTAATTTATTTAATTATTAGTATTCCGTTTCATTAATGTTGGTAATATCAATACAAACGCTTAAGTTTTCTACTTCTACTAAAACTGTACTAATAGTACTATTACGGTGTGCTAGTACGTTGTACGAATTGTACTACTACGGTGCGAACCTGCAGATGTCCGATTAAGCACAAGACTAGTTCGGCGCGCTATTTACAAAATTGTTAGCATTCAAATTAGGGATGTAGCAGAATGATAAAACGCTAACTGATGTTAACTTCATTAACCTAAATGAATGTGGGTGAGAGACCCACGACTTGCAAAGTTCGTAATTTTATTTAATTGTTTGATATTTACTTAAATGTAGATATGTTATAAATATAACGCTGGGGAGGCTTTCGTGGGGACACTGATCTTTACACTTTATTGAAGAGGTCACTGTAGGCTGTCATTGGACATCGCCAACGCATTCAATAGTCTGCCATTCAGCTGCATCAGGGAAGCACTCCACTATCATGGGGTGCCAAAGTACCTGAGGCGGCTAGTGGCAGACTATTTAGAGGAGCGTACCGTCGTGTACGAGGACCGAGAAGGTAATCTGAGGTGTCGGCCCATGTCGTGCGGTGTTCCACAGGGGTCTGTTCTTGGACCCCTCTTGTGGAACATAGGGTACGACTGGGCCCTTCGCGCCGATTTCCCCCCCGGGCTGGGTGTAATCTGTTACGCAGACGATACCCTCGTGACAGCCCGGGGGGCAAACTTCCAAGAGGCGGCGCGCCTGGCCACAGGGGGAGTCTCCCTGGTGGTCGGGCGCATTGAGGCGCTGGGCTTACGGGTGGCCCTAGATAAGACGGAGGCCCTGTTATTCCATGGGCCGCGTCGTGGTCCACCCCCTGGCGCCTCAATCGTGGTCAACTCGGTCCTCGTACCGGTTCGGGCCCAGATGAAATATCTGGGCCTGATCCTCGACGGGAGGTGGCTCTTCGACGAGCACTTCCGACAGCTTGCTCCAAAGCTGGTCGGCGCTGCGTCTGCCCTAGGGCGACTTTTGCCCAATATGGGTGGACCCAGCGTCGCGACAAGACGGCTGTACACGGGGGTTGTCCGGTCAATGGCACTGTACGGTGCACCGGTGTGGGCGGCGGCTCTGACCGCCCAGAATAGGGTACGCCTCTGGCGCCCTCAGAGGGTAATGGCGGTCAGAGCCATACGCGGTTACCGCACCGTTTCGACGGAGGTGGCATGCGCATTGGCCGGAACTCCCCCGTGGGATTTGGAGGCGGAAGTGCTCGCCGAAGTTTATCGGCGAGTGGCTGACTTCCGGGCGGAGAGCGGATTTCGCCCTCCGCCCGAGGATGTGCGCGAGTGGCGCGAAGCCGCTCGCCGAGCCACGATGGCTCGTTGGTCGTTCCGGCTGGAGACTCCACGCGCTGGCTTCGCCGCCGTGGAGGCTCTCCAGCCGGTCATCGCCGAGTGGGCAGGGCGGCAGCACGGGACCCTTTCCTTCCGACTGACGCAGGTGCTTTCCGGGCACGGTTGCTTCGGAAGGTACCTGCACACGGTCGCTAGGAGGGAACTGAGTCCCGCCTGCCACCACTGCGACTGCAGTGAGGACTCGGCCCAGCACACGCTGGCGGTCTGCCCCGCATGGGCGGCGCAGCGCCGGGCCCTCACTGCAGTCATCGGAGTGGATCTCTCGCTACCGGCCGTAGTACGCTCCATGGCCGGTAGCGACAGTTGTTTTACCGCGGTCGCAACCTTCTGCGAGGTAGTAATCTCGCGGAAGGAGGCGGCGGAGAGGGTCCGGGAGGACGACCTCCACTCGGACCCGATCCGCCGCCGGCGAACCGGGCGGCGGAGGCCCGCCTACCACAGCCTCATGCCGCCCTGAGTGTGGCCGCGGGTGGACGGGGTGGGTTTCCCCTCCACCCGCATTAGTTTGGCCAGCCGCGAGGGGGCGGCGTCCGCGTGTGCCGGACGTCGCCTAAAGAGAGGAAAACAACAATATTGAGACGGAGCCCGCACCAGGAGCGGGCTGGCGCTAGGAGGGCTCCGGATGTCTTAACAACAGCTGTTCCCGGATCCCTCCTGTTACAGGCGCAGAGTGGCACACCGTGTGGTTTTAGTCGGTCCGAGTCCGACACACCACCCCGCCGCAAACCCCGGAGGGGTGACGGTCCGAGGGGATTTCCACACGTTAAAAAAAAAAAAAAAAAAAAAAAAAAAGGCTTATCAGCGTCTCAATTTTTCTTTTGGCTCTCGGCCTTTCGCTGGAGACCATGGTTTTGGCTGTTTTCCGAATCGAGAGTACGTAGGATGGGATGCCACTGCCTCATTTTACAAGGAGGAAATGTTACTTAAAGATGCGACGGAAAGGGTACCAGAGAGGACGAGTATTCTCTAGTCGCGCAGACGCCAAGCGCCAGAGAGAGTGAAATGATCTCAGCCTGTCTAAAGGCGACGGATAGGGTTATCTGCCTAGCGGAAGCAGGCTCGAAGAGGCAGTGCGATGTCTTCCGCTCGCGCCTCTCAGAATTGGAGGGTGAAATGACTGTGGGCTCCTCTTGCTTACAGATTTCCATTCTTGTTTTTTTTTAATGATCAGCCCGGAAATACTGCAGTCGACGATTTGTTGATATAGACCATAGATTGGTTGTGCGAGGCAAAAATATCATAAAAAGCGCACAGTGGTGGAGTGCCAATCATCCAAGTGCTAATGGTCTGCAGTGATAAAATTTACCTCTGCCGAGCTAGGCCTACTCTGCACTATAAGTAAGAAGCAACAAGTATATATCCGCGTTTCTAAGATCAGAGGATTCTCCCTTTATGTTTGAGGGACATAAAAACTAGAGATGCCACGAATGTTGTTTGGTCGAATATCGAATGGAATATTCGGCAACACTTAATACCTACCTGTTGCGTTGAGGTTTTAGGCCGTACGCAAAACTAGCGTGCATACAATTGTTCGGGTAGACTGCTGTCAGGGATTCAAACAAAATCGTGTGCGTCACGCCAGCAAAATGTTGTCTCCTTTAAGGGTTTGATTTGCTTTAATAATGCAGATAATTAGAGCCCTATGTTCTATAAATGTGTCCAAATTTTGAAATTTGTGCCCCCAACCGCTTTTTAGTTATTCACGAACATAAGATTTTGCAGGAGTAGCGTTACCGCAGCAAAAAAATATTCGCGTTTATTTAGCTCGATTCGTATCGATCGCGGATTTAAAGTAACCAGATTTCTAGTTTATAATTTGTTCCAAATGTGCGTTCAAAATCTAAAAATGTGCCATGTGTGATATTTCCATGATAATTAAGTTTTTGACGGGGTAACGTTTACTGGTGGCCAGATCTGAATAACCACTAGGTGCATGGTGTACTATTGTGATTTTCTATAAACAAATAGGCACAATTTGTGTCTCTTTATGGGTCACATTTGTTTCTATAATTTTGCAAGACAAAAGTTATGACGATGATAAAAAACGAAATTAGCTTCAGGTTTCCATACTAGGCAACCTAGAAACCTTATGATAGCACTGAACTGTTTCTTGTACTTATTTCTGAAGACCTAAAAATTTTCAATATCTTACTTCAAGGCTGTAACTATTCTTTTTCCGACAACGACCTTATTTTGAAACTATATATTCAAACAGTAAGGCAAGAGTACAGTTAGAAGAGACAGGGCCCGAATTTAAAGTAAGGAGAGGCGTCAGACAAGGTGACCCAATGTCACCCAAATTATTCTCTGCAGTCCTGGAAATATATATTCCGAAAACTGAATTGGTCTCACCTGGGTCTCAACATCGATGGTCAGAAACTAAATCACCTTAGATTCGCAGACGATATAGTTCTATTTGAAGAAAGTCCAAGTAATCTGGAGCTTATGAACCAAGCTTTAACAAGGAAAGTGCTTTGGTGGGATTGTCCATGAACGCAACAAAAACAAAACTATTAACCAATTCGGAAAAAAAATACCAATGGAGCTAGATTTAAAACCACTTGAGTATGTAGAAGAATACACATATCTAGGTCAAATAATATCACCAAAAGGTCAAACCAATAAGGAAGTTAACACAAGAATTGCAAATGG